CACAATGAAAAAGAAAAGGATTAACTTAGAAAATATTAAAGAAGACAGTTGTACTTCATCACTGTCTCCCACTATAGCCAATTTGGCAACCATTGGACACAATGAAAAATAATAGGATTTTTTTTTTTTGAAAATATTAAACAAGATATTTATAGTTTATCACTGTGTCCCACTATAGCCAATTTAGGGCACATAGGAAAAATTATTAGATCACTATTTTTTTTAAAAATCAGAACAACTGCTTCTTTTAATAGATGAGGGAGGGACTTTTTTATTTGGCAAGAATATTGTAAATATTTTATAAAAACAGGTTTAATTTTTATTGTTTTTTTAAAGAAAACGTATTTCCAATCACAAAATTACATTGTTTTTTATGCTGTTGAAAAAATGATGCGGCCAAGAAAAAGAAACATTTTTTAAAATTTCCGCATCAATATTTCCCAATTTTGTTGACGAGGGCTGGAGTGATGATCTAATAATTTTTTTTTGTATAGGCATAATTATGATCTGTTCATTGTGCATTCGATTTTGATAATGAAAGGAATGATAGGAGCACTGTATGATCAATGTGCGCCAAAATAAATAGATGATTAACATAAAAAGTATGATGCCGTTTATTTGTACAATACTGCTATTGTTTCTAAAATTTGGTGGAGTAATGTAATTCATGTGGTTATCATTGGAAAGTTATTGATCTATTAGTAAATTCTATAATCTGGTTGTTGTACGCATATAGACATATTTTTTACATTTTTCATTTTATTTCTTTATTCATGTTCTTTGCAATTCATGCCAAAGTAAACTCAACCATACATATTCAACAACAGAGCGACGAAAAGGACCTCCACGAAACTCTTAGGAGCTTTTAAAATGGAGACCCGGTGTTAAAATTAAAGTTTGTTTAGACATAAAGACAGTATATAACTGCCTAACTACAAAGATACACCCCCTCTCACCCCAACAGTCATATTTTTTTATTTACATTTATTTTGAACATTGCCATTAGGACATTGTTTAAATCCACACTAGCCAGAGACGTTCATTCCCATTACATTATGGTCTTCCATTTCTATAGCGCATAGTACAGTGAATGACAAACGTCACATAACCACTACTAATTCCACCTTAATTCGGAGTCGCTCAGCTCAGTCTTACATGTAAATGTTCGTATTGACATTGTGTTTTTAGCATTGTTTTAAAGTAATAACCTATCAGACATTTACATGAACAACAAAACGGATGGAAATATATTTATCTTAACTATTGTTTTCAGCAAAGTATCCATATTTTAAAGAAGGGGGTGCTGATGTAATGAAAGTCCACATCACGTCAGTACTATCGTGGTTGGCGGTGACGCAAAAATGTCAGTATTTTATACCACTGGATGCCCCAAAATGGAACTTACATACCTAATAAATAATAATGTTTTTGACAAATTGAGTAAAAAAAAAAAAAAAAAACCCCAATTAATTAATTAATTAGGTACCCGAAAATGAAATTTAAGTACTTACTATTCTAAAAACTACCATATTCAACTGAGCCCCACTATGGTTGCGGCTCAGGTGAGAACATTTTGAGAAGTTGAGACTCGTTAGATGCACAAAAAAGCACTTGAATAGTACAAAATTTACGATATCCACCTGAGCCCCACCATGGTTTTGGGGCGCAGATGAGTCAATTGCAAGAATTTGAGACTTTATAGATGCCCCAAACAACACTCGGATACTTAAAATTTATGAAAATTTTAATCCATCTATCTCAGCCTACCATGGTTGAGGCTGAGGTAAAACAATTTTAAGAATTAGAGACTTTTAGATGCAGGAAAATGGCAAATACATAAAAACAACAAAAATTACTATATCCACAAAGGCCTATCCCCATCATGGAGGTGAGAAAATGTTAAAAATTGGGGAATTTTGATGCCGGAAAATGGCAATGTCATACATAAAAACTAGGAAAATTACTATATCCACCTGAACCCCGTCATGTGTGTGGCTGCATGAGATAAAGTTGGAGAATGGCACTTTAATACTTAAACTTTATGTTGGTTATTTTATAACATTTGAAAAGGGCATGTCAATGGGACGCAACTGCCAAAAAACCTGGCAGCGAAAGGACGCTACCAATAAACAATCAACAAACTACCGGGTTTCTGGGTTGATTTCCAAGGTACTACATGGCTGAACTATTTTTTACTTTAGGGTTAATTGGTAAAAATCGCACACAAATCATACGACGTCACTGACAACGTCGGGGACGGCAACTTGATCTTGAGATTAATTTTCCGAATAAAGTTATACTAAATAACTTCTAATGACGAACTATTGTCTTCAATTGTCTTTGTTGGTCATTCAACTGTCATTTTATCTATTTTTTCGGTGATATTACTATTCTCTATAATCTATAAAACACCCACATAACAACGTCACGCTAGAACGATTGGTGGGGACGCCGTGGTGACGCCGGTAGGGTCAATTTTCGTCGGAAGGTATCAAGATTATAAACAGTTTCATTGGACTAAATTCTTGCTTAAGTTAACCACATGCTTATCTATTATATTGACACTGGTTTCTAATCACGGTCAAGTAGTTAAACAACACCTAAAATCACCTTATTTTGCGAATTAGCGCCCCTCAACTGATCATCGAGCCCCCCGCCCAACTTCAGCTTCCTCCGCCCCATTTCAAGAAATCTAGATGCGCCACTGACTTACATGGCCAGATGAATGAATACTTAATCGACGCAACTGCCAAAAAACTATTTTTGGCAGCGAGGACGCTACGAATAAACAATCAAAAAACTACCAGGCTTCTGGATTGATATGCAAGGTACTACATGGCTCAACTATTTTTACTTAGGGGTTAATTGGTAAAAATCGCACACAAATCATACGACGTCACTGACAACGCCGGGGACGGCAACTCGATTTTGGGATTAATTTTCCGAATAAAGTTATACTAAATAACTTCTAATGACAACCTTTTGTCTTCAGTTGTCTTTGTTCATTCAATTGTCGTTTTATTCAATTGTCGTTTTATCTATTTTTTCGGTGATTTTCGTCGGAAGGTATCAAGATGATAAACAAGTTTCATTAGACTAAATTCTTGCTTATGCCACTGCGGTGGGGTTCCAGGCAGCCATGGATATTTGACGAATTATGGCGAATTTTTATTACTTATTTGATAGGCATCGAGCTACTATAATATGACTTCATTTAGGCTATGTTTTCTAATGTCGAAATCAGCTTCAAAAACCAAAACGTTTTGAATAAAACAAGAAACAAAGAGTTTGCAATGCAACCATCTAATTTCCTTACAAATCCTCTTTTTTTTTAAAGTGAAATTCTACATTATGGAAATTTTGCACGAAATCTGTCAACCACGATGTCAAGGTCGAGGTTGCTTTCCCAATCGCGATGTATTCCAAGCATCATGAGGCTATCCAAACGAGCATTAGTCCTAACAGAACGCAAAATATTTTAAATTAGTGTCATTGAACTATTATTATTATTATTATTATTATTATTATTATTATTATTATTATTATTACTGTATTATTATTATTATTATTATTATTATTGGCGCCACCACTGGATTCAATAATCTGCTGTACCTTGCTTTGCCATTTTCGATAGGTGAATAGGACCGAATTGTAACTTTAGAGCACTGGTGAATATTATTATTGCATAACGAATTATTTATAAACCATGCTTCCTACGATGTCATTATTTAGGTATAATGGCACTCGACTTCAACGGTTATTTAGGCCTATATATAATTGGAAGTAAAAATCATTATTTAGATATAATGACCTTGACACGATAACACGTGTGCATTACATATATTGTTGAAATCGAAGCATAATGGTTTTGCGACAGCAATTATTTATTTATAAAGAAATGTAAAAGCAGTTATTTATAAATAATGACTTTGAAGTCAATTCGTTATTTATATATAATGAAATCAGTGAACTTATTATATATAAATAATTGTAAGTTACTTTTCATTATTTATATATAATGATTTGTTACCTTTTCATTATTTATATATAATAGAATCAGTGAACTTATATTATATATAAATAATTGTAAGTTATTTTTCATTATTTATATATAATGATGTGTTTCTCCTTCTTTTTTTTTTATATATAATGAAGCCAGTAACCTTATTATATATAAATAATGTTTGGTTAGCCTTTCATTATTTATATATAATGTAATCAGTAAATTAATTATATATAAATAATGAAACGTTAACGCAGTTATTTACATATAATCCTTTAGACGTAAATGCACTATATATAAATAATGGGTGATCTAGTCAATTATAATGTTAAATAATGAATTAAATATAAATAATTGTGTTAAAAATAATAAATTTACACTTGGCGCCTCATACATTTGTACCCTGGCCTAGCTACCCGAAATGAAATAGTAAACTCCAAACAGACGTAGCGCGGTTATGGAGATCGAACATGACCGAAGCCTGTTTTGGCATACTTTATATACCTGGAATTTTGGCCGGTATCGGAAAAAAAGTTTGACCGAATTTGGCCGTGAGATGGCGTGTGTTTGGCCGTGAAGCCGAAGCCTGTCGACACTATCTGGCAACCCTGATTCGCACATGCGCAACACACACAGAGGCCAACACGCGCCGCATGTTTTCAGGCTCAACTAACGTCGTTTTGGGTGGTGATCTAAACGGTGAATTTTTGCAGAATGCTAGTCTTGTTTGAATCAGCGGCAGGATATGCCGTCTTCAAAGTAAGCCATTTATATTTTCAGGTCGCATAATTAAACTGTTTTGAAGTATATTTACATACACAGCTGCGTTAAATTAGTACCAAGCCACCAGGCCTGGTCTGGCATGGTTGTCGGCGAGTGGAGCATGGCACGGCTCTTCTCAACCACCGACCGAGACCACGTGTTTCGTGGTGGACGTTGTTGCATGCGATCGAGAGAATTAAATGAGTGAAATGATGAGACAGATTTCTTGATAGGAAAGGCCGTCTGATGCGCAATTGATTTCAAAATTTTCGTTTCTGATCACTCGGTCAATTAAAATTCATCCATATAACTATAAATATATATTTTGTTTTCTTTAATAATATACCAATCAATAAATTAAAATGTGGTTCGGACTGACAAAATTTTGGCTTTTGAACCAACAATCGGAGAGGAGTGTTCCAACCGAAGGAATAGTTACCAAGCCTAGGCCTAAGCCTACTTGATTTAGTCAAGGTGGTCTTCTACAAGTACAGTACTTATTATATTTTGTTTTTGGAAGTTTTTAATGAGACTGCACACATTGATTGATTTGCTTATTTTTAATTCATTCAAAAACTTAAATATATACGGGCCTACACTACATGGTGATTTTGATGTTTTTATTATATTGTTATTACTCTTACTTTGAATAAACATTGCACACAACAAAACCATATGTTTTCAACTATAAAACTGTCATAATATTAGTTATACTGAATTGTCAGTGAGTGTGGGTGCAGTGAACAGGAGGGCTCTTGTGTGTGCCAGTTACCACACTTGGCAACTCTCAGGCATAATGAACGAGTCTGCGCATGAACATCCACTTTTTACATCTCCGTGTCTCCGTTGTATTATCTGACACATACTTTACATAAAAATTGTTAATATTAAAAAATAAATATAAAATGGAGGCTGATTATACCCTAAAATTCATAAAAATAAAGTGAATTCATTAAAATATGAATACAGGCCATGTAAGTTTCTATTTTATTGAAGCTACTGTATATCAGCAGACAGTTCCACTACAATTTAAAGAAAAGTAACATGAAGGGCGCTATATATATATAGATTTTATTATTTTTTTTCTCTCGCTTCAAGCACCAACAAAAGCAGGTATCTAATACTAAATTTAGTTTCTTTATTCTATCTTTGACTTAATCTCCAGCTCCTAGATGAAAAGAAGTTAAAAGAAGTTGATAATTTGTATAAAAGTTTCCAGTCAGTTGAAGATGCTAATCAAATGTAAGTTTTTTAATAAACTAGTAAATTATTTATACTAATTGATTTGAGCAATATTAGAGGTCTTACACATATGTAGATTGAAATGATGAGTCAATTTTCTTGATAGGAAAAGCCGGCTGATGCGGAATTGATTATAAACTATCGACTCTGATCTCTTTAAATGTGAATTCCTCTGCTTAAGAAATTTTGTAGCGTTCTTAGAGAGGCTATTGTATTTTTGTTTGCTTTATATGTTATGTTTATACAGTATATTTATATTTGTTAAGTCTGATTGGTTCACACTTGGCAGAATGTATAATTACAATATTTATAAGTGGAGCCTATTCATCTTGCTGTTTATGTGATTATGATTTCTGCTTATTGAAAATTTTCAGTTGTACTCACGAAATGAAGATTTGTTTAGAAATCACATTAAATCTAAAACTTGCATCCACATTTTTTCTACATATTTTTTAGAATAAAACTAAAGCATTTTCAGAAATTTGATGATACAAGGGAGGCTTTGGCAGGTAAGGACACAAATAGCTAAATTTAGTCAGTGACATTCCCATATTCCAAAGTATCGTTTTTAATGATAAACCATTCATCCTTATATATCTTTTTAAAAAGTATCCTAAGAGAATTTTCTATCTATATCTAGCTGCAACAGCTGCTGTCGAGGGAAAGCTTGGAAAAGGTCTGAAGAAAATGTTAAAAAAGATGGCTGCCAAGGATGCCATTGACAAGCTAGCTGTAGCGGATGCCAAATTGGGCAACATCATTAAGGTAGGAAGAAGTTCCAAACGTCACATTTTGCGCATTTTTTGAATGAATGATTGATCTATCAATGATGGATATTCTGTAGACTGATTTTAACTGTGATGTTAGATAAAGAGATTCGTCACTACCACTGAGATAGATCAATATTTAGGCCTATATCCAGAGGGCAATGGGTACTCTGACCCCAGTTGTTTAATTTTTATGCACCATTACATCCCCTTCCCCCAAAATGACAATCCTGGATACGGCCCATGCTGTAGTTACATTTGACCGGTGCTTGCTTCCCTTGTTGCCTCTGCATTTGTATTCATGCCTCTAACTAATTCTACAAGATTTATTTTTATTGTTAATCAACAGGACAAATTGGATTTAAACTGTGTACATAACAGTGGTATACAGGAGCTGATGCGAGGTATTCGGTCACAGTTTGATGGTCTTGTGACCGGCCTACCGGAGAATGACCTAACCGCCATGACCCTAGGATTAGCACACAGGTAAGCCTTGTGATCTTGTATACCAATTTCAAATTTGCTAAACGTCTAGGGGACAGATGATTTTACTGAGAATACCGGTATTGTTGTGGTTACGATGGATGTTATTAATTTTACATCATAACCCATTAATAACATGCATTGACGGTCATTCTCATGATGTCCTCTTTGTTTTTTGTTTTTTTAATTTAGTTTATCAAGATACAAGTTGAAGTTTTCTCCCGACAAAGTAGACACAATGATTGTCCAAGCCATTTGTAAGTGACTAACATAAACTTCAATCAGTGCCAGCCAGTCCTAATATATTATGCATGTTGTTAGCGAATTCTTACATTTTTCTAAAATATCTTAATAATTTCCTTGGAATTTGTAGCTTTGCTTGATGATCTAGACAAAGAACTTAACAACTACATCATGCGTTGTCGGGAATGGTATGGTTGGCATTTCCCTGAACTTGGCAAGATCGTCACAGACAATTTAGCGTACTCAAAGACCGTAAAAACAATAGGTAAGTTGATGTGCCAATGGTGGTAGTTTTACATTGTCGTAAGAAAACGCTCTTACAATTTCAGAATAGCAACACTATTCACATGGCATTCACAGATATCTCGTTGTGTTTGCTGCATCTGTGCATATAAGAAAGCAGCTTAGCTTAGTCAGCTAAACTGGTGGTAGCCACTGTGTGTACGCTGAACTGTCCCCAGTTTGATTCCCATTGCTGCTCTCCATGTTAACTGGAGTGCTGAAATGCAAGTCACGATAGCGTACTGTTTTTAAGATGAGACATTTAATCTGTTGTTCCTGTGTGCATTATGGCCCATGTGCACGTTAAAGAATGCAGTACACGCTTCAGAAAAGAGTGTACTGCTAAATCCACCAGAAGGATCCCTCTGGAAATAATACCCTATTCAGACTACACTCTGTTGCAATCGGATTCCGTGGTAATCAGGAGTAATAAAGATTGTAGCACCCAATCGCAACGGGTAACAATTGCGATATCGATTACATATCGACTACTATTGGTGAGCTTTCACACTAGATTTTACTTTGCGATTGAGTGTCGCAATTGCTACAACCGATCGCAATGCCATGCTAGTCTGAATGGGGTATAAATCTTCTTCATACTTTCATGGGTTATCCTTGGTGTTTACACCGAATATATCCATCCTTGCCGCTTTTCGTAAATATTTCAGTGCCATGCTCGTATTAATAAAGTAAAACCCATTAATGGATTTTAGATCATCGATTTCATATCAGAAATAAATTCAACCACATATAATAAACATTCCTGAGTTTTGTAATAGAGCAAACGTTATTTAATTGCAGGTGATCGAACAAACACAGCAACCACTGACCTATCTACAGTTTTAACAGAAGAACTTGAGGAGCAGGTGAAGTCTGCCGCTGAAATCTCCATGGGAACAGAGATCTCAAAGCATGACATTGATAATATTCTATTCCTGTGTGACCAGGTAAGCATAATTATGCTACTAAAAATGTGTTTGGAAGGCACACACCTTAAACACCAGCTCTACTTTTTGCTCTATAACCACAGGGATAGCAGTTTGGTGTATTAGAACCAGGAAACAAGTACTTCCATAATTCATTGCCCACAGTGATTACCACTAGTTAAACAAACTATTATGCTGGTTTACTTTACCAGTCCCCTAATACAAATTTTATTTCATGCATTGCTAGATCATTGTAACCATATAAAGGGTAATATTGCAGCTAACATTAGGAGCTTTCCTAAATACAGTAATAACATGCTCGATAAACAGTGATTACGAAGTGTAGAGAAGCGGCGGATTAAAGAAGGCGGGGGTCAGCTGACCCGGGCCTCCCCCCCTTCCTTTCCCCCTTAGTTTTTCAAAATTATAAAAAAAAAAATGGGGGAAAAAAAATATTATTCACATTTAAGTCTGAGAGTGCCATTAATCTAGACCCTCCATCTGTGAAAGTTGCCTGGAACCCCTCTATTTTGAATTCCGAGATCTGGCAATGTAGAGAGTGAAGATGGTTTTTAGCAAGTGTGAAAAAGTCACAGTATTTTAATCCAGGATAAATCACCTCCACCATGTATTTCATGCCTTACTCTCTTTTTCATTGTAGATAATTGAAATCTCTGACTATCGTGCACAACTTTATGACTATCTGAAGAATCGTATGACTGCCATTGCACCAAACCTGACAACGCTGGTCGGCGAGCTGGTTGGTGCTAGACTTATTTCCCATGCAGGTCGGTAGAAACTTGTGTCTAAAATTTGTTCGATGTGCCTAGTTGAGAAAAGTTTAATAAGCGTAACTTTGAAAAGCTAATTCAATCAGCTTGCAGAATATGCATATACAAAAGCTTTTCAATTATACATTCTCTCTTAGTTTTTGTGTACAGGGCTGACACTAGATTATCTTGTACATTGGTGTTCTGTTTTATTTTTTCAGGTTCCTTGATGAATCTAGCTAAACATCCATCATCAACGGTACAGATTCTTGGCGCGGAGAAGGCATTGTTTAGAGCTTTGAAAACAAAGAAAGACACACCTAAATATGGACTCATCTACCATGCATCAA